GGGGAAGCGCAGTGAGGAGCAAAACCCAAAACTGGCATTTGGATGTGCCAATGAAATATTCCATATCATATCCCATCATGTCAGTATATTAACCAGGGTAGACCGGAAGATGGGGTATTCTCTTGGGGATCGCTCGAGATCACGTTTCCGGGGTTTCGGTTCAGGACCGTCTCGGCTGCAGGATCGTTAGCTGGCACAGGCTGGGAATTGGTCAGCGGGCGGTGAGCTCTGTGTATCACTCACTTGTATAGTCTGTTATCATTGTTGTTATCATTATTATTTTTCTTTTAATTAGTAAATAGTTTTTATCTCAACCCGTGAGTCCTTGCCCTTCTTTCCAAATTCTCTCCCTTACTCCCTGGGTGAGGAGGGGGGAGGGTGATAGAGCAGGCTGTGTTTGGCTGAAAGCTGAAAGAAAAAGGGTGAATCCACCCAAACCACCACAATGGTACAAGACTGAAGTTGGTTTTTTAGTTTAGATGTACTTTCATAAAAAGTAAAAGCATGAAAGGTCCTAACAAACAGAATAAGATTCTTCATGGGACACTGAATAGCGGAAATCGGAAGAAGCAGGATTTATAAGGACATTCTGGAAGCTTGGAAGGATTTCTCTACTCACCAGAAAAGGCTGCAGTTCTTGTAATTTCCTGACCCAATGGAGAGTTTCTTAATTTGTTTTGTGAGAAAGAGATATTTGTTTTCTCAGTGAAAATAAAGCCAAAGTATTGCTGGGCTAATTAGCATTGGCAGCTGATACAAAAAGGCCTTGCCTCTTTCGAAGGCAGGTGAAGATCCCTTTCTGCCTCCTTCTCACTCATCCAAACAGCATCTTGGAAGAACCCTTTTTTCTGAAAACAGATCTCAGATACGGTACGCACTAGCTGAGATTTAGATGAGGAGCTGTGAGTAGGACATACCTTCTTTTGCAATATATAACCCCACAATCACTGATAATAAAGATCAATTAGGTCCCTCAATGTAATGGAAGTTCATATATCTCAGAGAAGTAATTTCTATAGATTTTCATTTTCATTGGTCTTCTCATTTATCTGGGAAGACAGTTGTTTAGATGAGTAATTTACCTGCAACAATTCTGAAGCTATTACTATGTAGTAGATGGGTTTGTTGGAATTTTATTTCCCTGTTCTCCTGTCCTTTTAGGACAAATACAATTCTCAGAGACACGGTGCCTTCCTCTTTCTTCACAGACACTCAAAGTTTATCCAGGAAATGAAGGAGCAAGCAGGATGGTGTATTTGTTAGGAATACTAAGTGAAGGAAATAAATGTGAACATAAGTCTTCTGGCCTCTAGATCAAAGAATATTCTTGGCTGTCTTTCAGAATGAGTAACAAAAATTTATGTAGCCATTTTGTTCTCAGAATACATTTATTCTCAGAATACAGTGGCATACACTGAGTCATATATGGAATTTCTGAGTCTTGATGAAAACATTCCTTTTGTTCTCTGTGTATAGTAATTTCTTGTTCTAAAAGAACACTGTTTTAAGGAGAGGTATATCTGATTAGATTTGCAAAGGCTGAGAAAGATAACGGTAATTTGTATAACCAAAACTTGAGGACACATACACCAGATTAGCAATATTAAGGATATTTGTTCAGTGTTTCCTGTAAATTAGATTTACCTGTTTCAAGCAAAATGCGTACTACCTCCACCTTTCCAAACAGAGCTGCTTCATGTAGTGCACTCCCTTTTTCTGTCTAGAAAAAAAAAAAAGTGACATTTAAAATGTGAATTAAAATATCAATGAATCCTTTTGAAAATAATATATTAGGAAAAAACTATTTATCTTTTCCCCTCTATTTTATCTACACATAAAAGAACATTGAATGGGCAAGAACAAATCCTATCATAATTTTTTTATTATTATTCAAGATAACAACATAAATGTTGTCAGTTCTACTATAAAAATTAATAACTATATAAGAAAATACAGTAGGGATGTAACACAACTCCCACTTAACAAGCCTGTGTTTGTGTAAAATTTCTAAATTCCTATTATAGGCAGTGAAAATCTAGTCAACACTGTTAGTGGAACATAGCTGTTCAACAGAGTCAGCCAGTTTACATGTGGACATCCACAATTTAAGTGTTTTAATCTGAAACTGGATCACATCCTAGAAGGTCAATTCACTTGCACAGTCAGAGGTGCCCTAGGATATCCCACCTGGCCTCCAACTGATGTTCCAGTTGATGCTTACATTTGATCTGTATTATATCTGCCCCATACAGATGTCTTGGATACCCTAAGGCACCTCCAACGGTATTAGATAGCTATGTTTATATCATTTAAATTCTACTTTAGATGTTTGTGAACCTGATTTTGCAGATTTCTGTGACACAAAATGTGTCCATTCTGTGAACAGACTTTTGCTCAAATAAAATTTACAGTACTGAACAACAAACTACTTAACAAGCTACCTTTCTTAGTATATTATACTGCTGACTGTTCCTTTCCATACAGTAGCATTAACACTAGCTAAAGCATTAGTAGATCTCACTGAATCTTTGGCTCATCTCCTTTTCTTTTATAGTAAATTAGGGGTTTGAGTGGGTTTTATTTGTGAGCAAATGCTAAAGGTGTTACTGCTTTAATTTTTTTTTTCTGTATTTTATCCAATGCACCATTATCATGCTTGCTATGGTGGAAAGACTTTAAAGACACTCAAAAAAATGAACTCTGAAATAAAATAGTGATTCATTATTTATTATCTGTATCAGAATGCATCAGTGTTACAGAGGTGCAACAACAGGATATTCAGAAGTACTCAGAGATCCTGAGCTGGGATGTGACCACACAATAAATGCACGTATATCCTACCAATTGAGCCTGAAAACTCTTTGTTATGCCCATAATAGGAGCACTCACTTTTAATATTTCTTCATACTTAGTACATGGATGTATAAAGCAGAGTATGTCCAATATCATTTACATCCAGGACATCAGGAATACTAACAGTGTAATGGAGAGGAGAAGGAAGTCAGTAAGAGAATATACATATGAAATACGTACCTCAAAACAATTTCTAATATTTCCATTTTCAGAAGCAATCCAGAGGAACATTCACAGACTTATTCTGAAGAAGACTAAATATTAAGATTTACTTAGAAATGGCCTCAGAATCCTTTACTCAAACAATACCTACAGGAGTTTTCCAGTAACTGCAATTGATTTTAACACTGGATAACTCTGCAATGACATAGTGCAACCACAAAGGTACATGCAGAGATTAAGGTGCAGCTCAGAAATTTCTGGGAATGAAAACAGTTCTCAGAAAAGTCATTGACAGCTATAGGTCTGATTGCGGAAAAAGGCTTGACATCAGCAATATTGAAAAAGGCTTTGACACAGTCTATTATCCTCTTTGGTATTTGTGTGGATATGGCGTTTCCTTTGGATTTGTCACTTCCTGACATGAATGAACCTCAAGACCATTGGGTGGACCTGGAACTATTAACGTAGAGTTCCCTGTCATCAAGGATGTGAAATACAGCTTTGACTCTGAAAATATCTGATTTTGGAAAGACAGGTGGTGAAATTAAAAAGCCACAATGGGGAGAAGTTCAGCACAGTAATCTGCCAGAGAAGAACACCAAAATAGGGACTCAATCACAACTGATCACTCACTGTTTTGAGAAAAGAGGAATGTCTCTCTCATACTTGAACATATTCACTACAGTTGAACATATTCTGTCATATTTGAACATGGGTCAGCAGGTCAAGGGAGGTGACCTTCCTTTCCGTTCACCACTCGTGAGGCCACACCTCGAGTACTCTGTCCAGTTCTGGGCTCCCCAGTACAAGACAGATAAGGAGTTACTGGAGAGAGTAACTAAGATGATTAAGAGACTGGAGCATCTCTCCTAGGAGGAAAGGCTGAGAGAGCTGGGACTGTTTAGCCTAGACAAGAGAAGGCTCATGGGGAATCTCATCAATGTGTAAAAATATCTGAAAGGAGAGTGTGAAGAAGACTGAACCAGGCTCAGTGGTGTCCAGTAAAGAGGTAATGGGGAAAACCTGAAACACAGGAGGTTCTGTTTGAACATAAGGAAATAATTTTTTTCCTGTGCAGGTGACTGAGCCCTGGTAGGCTGTAGACTCTCAGCCCTTGGAGATATTCCAAAGCTGTCTGGACATGGTCCTGGGAAACCTGTTCTAGGTGACCCTGCTTGAACAGGGGGTTTGGACCTGATGACCCGCAGAGTTCCCTTCCAACCTCAACCATTCTGTGATTCTGGCAGGGATAAAAATCAGTGACGCATACACCAACAATGAAATCCACAGAGGTTCAAATGTTTTAGGAGGCCTGAGCACTAAATATTAGTCTGACTGAGGATGAAATAGAGATGGGAACCAGCTGAACCTTGAATAAAATTGTAGAGATAATTCTGTATTAGTATCAAAAAGGAACTTTTTTTAATGGAAAAAAATGACATTAGTTACAACAGTTATCTAGAATTTGTTGCTGTGGTGTGATCTGAGACTGAGAAACATTAATGTTCCAGCATGCTGAATCAACAGTTTTGAAGACAAGGAAGAGGATCTACCCTCAGTTAAGGGGTGGAAAAGATCCTGGTATAATTGTCAGAACTGGTGCCAGTCCTTTCTATTGATCAAAATTCCCCACTGGAGGAAAAACAAGTAGTATTTTCCTTGATGAAAGCATACATCTCATAAGAAATTAAATGAAAACTAACATGAGAAGAGGAAATCTCCTGTAGATTTCTAAGGCAAACAAATCTGGGAGCAACTTGAGAGCCAGAAGATAGTTCTGTAACAAGGAACCAAAGCTCTGCTATGCAGAGAGGGAGTAAAGAAACTTAACTCACCTACCTATGTAATTCATAGTGTTGGGAGAGGAATCCAAAGCCAAATGACAGATTTTTTTCAATTTTATACATTCTTGCTTCTCGGTCTATTCTACTGTGGTATTTCCTGTCATATCTGAACAGAACATGATCCTGAAATGCTTTACAGGCATTCTGCACTGCCCTGAATTCTGGGGGAGTCTTTGCTTTACAGCTCCAAGCTATCATAAAATGCTAATGAATGTCATATCCCAGAAATGAGATATATATTACAAACATTCTGTTCGAAAGAGAAATTTGAAAGGCACACCGTATAAACAGTGGACTGATCTGTCAACTATATAGGTGATTTTCTAAGCAAAGGGGGAAATATTACCACAAAAGTGAAATAAAATCAGTCTGGGAATATGGAGATTGAAAGCACACTTGTAAAATGCAGATGTGTAATCCTGCATGAGATGTCAAAAAAATGAATGCTGACGTAAATCTTAAAAGCTCTAGGCAAGATTTCATGGTAAGAGTGAGTAACTAATGAATGAATCAGATCCCTTGACCCAAAAACTGTCCAGAAGCCCTTGTTACCAGAGAGTTCAGTTACCAAATTCCATTTTAACACAAGGAAAATGCTTAGCCTCAGGATGAACAGGGCCAAGAGAAACTCGGAGGACTGGCTGACTAGATATATATCTCTTTGTAAATGTACATGTGGACTACTACTTTAAGTAGAAATAATGTTGGCTTTTTTTCTGGTGCAATAGAGTATATTATACAAATTGGAAGAGTTAACAAATGTAGTTGCAAATAATTTCTATATATTATTTAAGATGTGCTCGAGATTTTACGTAGGTCTTTTTCACTTATACTGGTGTACCTATGCACTAATATATTCTTCTGTCTATACTACAGCAAGCAAACTTAAGATTTATAGACAATATTCACTGCTTTACTTCCTGAACCTTTCATTAGCTTGAATCGGATTTTCCTGGCAAAGTGAACACTACCATTATATTTGGAAATTCTTCCACAGTGATATTTAATGCAAAAAATGCTGTTCTTTTTCCATTAACACAGTGAGCTGAAGTCAGCTTCAGTTTGCATCACTAGATTATATATTGATTCCCTGGCATAAGTTTTCTGTATTTCAAATATAGAGAACCACAGCACAAATTGTGCTAAGCATATAATAAAACCCCCCTTGCCCCAAGTAGCTTACAGCTAAATACAGGTACAATGACACAGCTGGACACACAGAGCAAGCAAGGACTGAAGGACATTGTCAGTAGGAACACCAGGATACACAAATCAACTTGGCGTATAATTTGCATGCCTAAATAAAGGCATAGAGGATTTTATTAATTAGAGATTTATTTTTTTTACCGTGTAAATATGCAAGAGCTTGAAATTAGGTCACTTGTCTAGTCCTTATTCATAGTCAGTTTACTACAGTTTTGATATGGATTTCAGACATAATCTGAAGGACGGAATGGTAGCTTTGCAAAGTGATTCATGGAATATCCTCCATTCAAAGCAACTGCAAAACGGAAGGAGCATAGCTTTTTGCAGAACTACAGTGATAATCAATGGAAATTGCTATCATTACTGGAAGAGACAGGGAAGGAAAACAGGGATAGATGAAAACTGGATAAGCAGAAGGGGCCAACTTTTTAAGGTTTAGAGTTATAAAATTACTGTTTACTTAAAACACACTGAACAGTGTGCAGTCTTATTTTACTGAGGGCCCAAAATCTATCACTTGCCCAAAACCTGTGTATTTTTCATATGTTTCAAATTAAATGAAAACTTCAAAGCATAAAGAAATGAAGCAGATTTGTATTGCTCACTTTTAAATAATTTCAGATTGAAGGATATTGGATAGACCTGGGAAATGAATTAGATGTGTGATTAATTCAATCAAAAATTACATACTATCTATTATTAGTCCAAATATTTGCTATGATGAAAAGTGCTTAGGGAGTACAGAAGAGAAACATAAAATGGCTAAAGTAAACTTCCCATTTAAACAAATAAATATCTACAATTACAGAGTGATAGCAGATAGGCTACTTCTATA